ACAGGGTGATGGTGGACACACTGGCTGAGGTGGCAAGAAGAGCTCACTCGAGCAGAGCAAAGTTACTGGTAATGGGCGATTTCAACCACAGGGAGATCGACTGGGAAAACCTGGAGCCACATGGGGGTCCCGAAACATGGAGAGCCAAGATGATGGATGTGGTACTTGAAAACCTCATGCATGAACATGTCAGGGACACAACCAGAGAGAGAGGGGAGGATGAGCCAGCAAGACTGGATCTTGTGTTCACCCTGAGCAGTTCAGACATTGAGGACATCACTTACGAGAGGCCCCTTGGAGCTAGCGATCGCGTGGTTCTGAGTTTTGATTATATAGTAGAGTTACAAGTGGAGAAGGTAACAGGAACTGAAGGGGACAGGCCAAACTATAAAAGGGGGGACTACACAGGTATGAGAAACTTCCTGCAGGAGGTTCAGTGGGACAGAGAAATGGTAGGAAAATCAGTAAATGAGATGATGGAATATGTGGCAACAAAGTGCAAGGAGGCAGAGGAAAGGTTTGTTCCCAAGGGAAACAGAAATAATAGGAAGACCAAAATGAGCCCTTGGTTTACCCGAAGGTGTAGGGAGGCAAAAACTAAGTGCAACAGAGAATGGAAAAGGTACAGGAGGCATAGGACCCAGGAAAACAAGGAGATTAGTAGAAGAGCCAGAAACGAGTATGCACAGATAAGGAGGGAGGCCCAGCGACAGTATGAAAACGACATAGCATCGAAAGTCAAATCTGACCCGAAACTGCTGTATAGCCACATTAGGAGGAAGACAACAGTCAAGGACCAGGTGATAAGGCTGAGGAAAGAAGGTGGAGAACTCACAAGAAACGATCAAGAGGTATGCGAGGAGCTCAACACGAGATTTAAGGAAGTATTTACAGTAGAGACAGGAAGGACTCTGGGGGGACAGACCAGATGGGGACACCAGCAAGGAATACACCAACAAGTGTTGGACGACATACATACAGATGAGGAGGAGGTGAAGAAACTGCTAAGGGACATCGATACCTCAAAGGCAATGGGACCAGACAACATCTCCCCGTGGATCCTTAGAGAGGGAGCAGATATGTTGTGCGTGCCACTTACCACAGTCTTCAACACGTCCCTGGAAACTGGGCAACTACCTGAGGTATGGAAGATGGCAAATGTAGTTCCCATTTTTAAAAAAGGAGACAGAAAAGAGGCACTAAACTATAGACCTGTGTCATTGACGTGTATAGTATTCAAAGTTATGGAGAAGATTATCAGGAGGAGAGTGGTGGAGCACCTGGAACGGAACAAGAGTATAAATGCCAACCAGCACGGATTCATGGAAGGCAAATCCTGTGTCACAAACCTTCTGGAGTTTTATGATAAAATAACAGAAGTAAGACACGAGAGAGAGGGGTGGGTTGATTGCATCTTCTCGGACTGCAAGAAGGCCTTTGACACAGTTCCTCACAAGAGATTAGTGCAGAAGCTAGAGCATCAGGCACATATAACAGGAAGGGCACTGCAGTGGATCAGAGAATACCTGACAGGGAGGCAACAACGAGTCATGGTACGTAATGATGTATCACAGTGGGCCACCTGTGACGAGCGGGGTCCCACAGGGGTCGGTCCTAGGACCAGTGCTATTTTTGGTATATGTGAACGACATGATGGAAGGGTTAGACTCAGAAGTGTCCCTGTTTGCAGACGATGTGAAGTTAATGAGGAGAATTAAATCTGATGAGGACCAGGCAGGACTTCAAAGAGACCTGGACAGACTGGACACCTGGTCCAGCAAATGGCTTCTTGAATTTAATCCTGCCAAATGCAAAGTCATGAAGATAGGGGAAGGGCACAGAAGACCACAGACAGAGTATAGGCTAGGTGGCCAAAGACTGCAAACTTCACTCAAGGAGAAAGATCTTGGGGTGAGTATAACACCGAGCATGTCTCTGGAAGCACACATCAATCAGATAACTGCTGCAACATATGGGCGCCTGGCAAACCTGAGAACAGCATTCCGATACCTTAGTAAGGAATCGTTCAAGACACTGTACACTGTGTATGTCAGGCCCATACTGGAGTATGCAGCACCTGTTTGGAACCCGCACTTGATAAAGCACGTCAAGAAACTAGAGAAAGTACAAAGGTTTGCGACAAGGTTAGTTCCAGAGCTATGGGGAATGTCCTATGAAGAAAGATTAAGGGAAATCGGCCTGATGACACTGGATGACAGGAGAGTCAGGGGAGACATGATAACGACATATAAAATACTGCGTGGAATAGACAAGGTGGGCAAAGACAGGATGTTCCAGGGAGGGGACACAGAAACAAGAGGCCACAATTGGAAGTTGAAGACATAAATGAGTCAGAGAGATATTAGGAAGTATTTCTTCAGTCATAGAGTTGTAAGGCAGTGGAATAGCCTAGAAAATGACGTAGTGGAGGCAGGAACCATACACAGTTTTAAGACGAGGTTTGATAAAGCTCATGGAGCGGGGAGAGAGAGGTCCCAGTAGCAACTGGTGAAGAGGCGGGGCCAGGAGCTAAGACTCGACCCCTGCAACCACAAATAGGTGAGTACACACACACACACACACACACACACACACACACACACACACACACACACACACACACACACACACACACACACACACACACACACACACTCTCTCACACATACACACTCTCTCTCACACATACACACTCTCTCACACATACACACACTCACTCTCTCCCTAAGTGTTTAACCCTTTCACTGTCGGTGACGTATAGGTACGGCCTACAAGCCAATGTTGGTTACGTATTATTATGCCAAATTTCTAGAGGCTTCAAATCTAGCGGGAGAAAGCCAGTAGACCTACATGTGAGAGAATGGATCTGCATGGTCACTGTGCACAGTATAAAAAAAATCCTGCAGCATGCAGTACATAATGAGAAAAAAAAGAACTCCGACTGTGTTTTTGGTTTATAACACCGACTTTGAGGTGTATTTTTTTATGATATTTATGGTTGTATTCTCGTTTTCTTGATCTCATTTGATAGAATGGAAGATGTATTACAGAAATAGAGATGATTTTGAATGGTTTGATGATGAAAAGTGCCTTGAAATTGAGCTCAAAGTAGCAGAAATATTCGATTTTTGCTGATGTTCAAGAGTAAACAAACAACATCACCATCCAGTACGTGTCCAAAGGGCCATTTTAATACACAGTCACGAATGGGTTGACATCATTTATACAATTATTACAATAATCCAGTAGTCTGCATAACAGTAAATCTTCTATTTTTTGTGTGATTAAAAATTCAAAATGGAAAGCAAGAGTAATATAAGAGGGGCCTGAAGACATGACAAATTAACAGAGAAAAATGTTATTTTAGTACCAGGAATGTCTGCATTGTTTATTCTGGACCCTATTTTGAAATTGGCATCTTTTGAAATTTGTGTGAAATTGGCCAAATTGCTAATTTCTGACCACTTCATTGGGTAGTTCAAATTAGTAAATGGGCAGTTTCTTGCACTCAATCGATAAAACAAATGGAGTTCTAGCGAAATAGCTATGAGTTTGGTCGACTGGAAAAATGGAATTGGCCGAAAATAGGGCTCAAATTGGGTGAAATCGTCGATGCATATATATCGCCAAGACTGCCAACTTCATGAAAGCGTAATTCCATAAGTTTTCCATCAAATTTCATACTTTTGGTGTCATTACCATCGGGAAAAGATTCTGTATCATTTAGCAATTTATTATTATTATTAGTATTTCTTTAAATTCTTCAGCTCTGAGAGCAAGCTTGTGAGCAGGGCTCTCGACAATGAAGGGTTAAATCTCTACCACATTTATACCCTTTGTAGTGTTACTTGGAAACCCTTACACTCACTCAGATTTATCCACTCTGTTAATGAACACATCTTGCTAGATTTTTTTCTGTATGACCAAGTCATCTCAACAGCACCTTCCCTTTCTTTTTTTATTTTGTTTTTTGAATTATAACCTTCATACCATAGAAGATGGTATGATCCTAATTTTTTTTTTTATTCTCTGTATAATCATTCCACACACATTATTTCAGACATTGTATTTCAATTGCATATTTTTGTTTTCATTGACAAGATTTGTTCTTTTCATAGATTTCTCAGTAATTCTGCAACTTTCTTTCCTTCACATATTCTGTGATTTATCATACATATAAATCTATCTACATAAGAACATAAGAATGAAGGAATGCTGCAGCAGGCCTACTGACCCATGCAGAGCAGGTCCATGTCCCCCCCCACCCCCTGGATTAGCCCAATGATCCACCCAGTCTGGTCACCTCCACTCAAGGAAGGAGCACGGCACCAGACCCAGCAGCACAAGCTAGTCAGGTCCAACTCACACCCACCCACACCCACTCATGTATTTATCTAACCTATTTTTAAAACTACACAACGTTTTAGCCTCAATAACTGTACTCGGGAGTTTGTTCCACTCATCCACAACTCTATTACCAAACCAGTGCTTTCCTATATCCTTCCTGAATCTGAAGTTTTCGAACTGATATGTCCTTTTTATATCTACATACACCTCAGTATTTCAACATGGTAAATCTGTTCAAAAAGCTAAGAAAAATAATATTCACTTATAATTCTGTCTGGAGTGCTGTAATAACAACGTACATTAATTAAAAGTGCTTTAATAGGTATATAATAGGAGGGGTGTTAATGTTTCAGTTCTATAACTGTAATATTAAGCACCTCTCTGGCAAGACAGTGATGGAGTGAATGATGATGAAAGTTTTTCTTTTTTGGGCCACCCTGCCTTGGTGGGAATCGGCCGATGTGTTAATAAAAATAATAAAATAAATACAGTATTATACTGTTTTCTGTTATATGGTACATAGCAGTGGTTTTCCTGCTTCTCTGTATTTGACGAACTACATATTGTAATTAATACTACTCCGTTTTTCAGTGTCATCATTTTTATGAAAATTTTTCTGAAACTCTTTAACATCTTTTTATTTTTTATTTCAGTGGAAACAACAACAGACACTGGGACAGCGTACAGTATGAAACTATTAAATGCATCAAAGTCATTTGCAATACAGTCACGGGCATTAAGGAGTTTTTTCGTCAGACTGAAGGATTCATTCTCTTGGCGCAGAGTCTTAATCCAGCCAAGCCAGCAATCATGTTGGAAGTGCTGCGACTTATGTCAAGTTTCTGTCTACCTTTGTGGCGGCAGGATGGACTTGATGGGCATCGAGAAGTCCTAGATGCCATTACAATTGTTGGAGAGCTCAAGAAACAGGATAGATTCACACCAATTGTTGTCGGTTTAGGCATGCAGGGTAATGACCCTCTAAGACTTAGCTGCCTTGGTCTTGTCAATGCCCTTATCAATTTTGTTCCTGATGATAACTTAGACTTCAGATTGCACTTGAGAAATGAATTTATGAGAACAGGCCTCCAAGACTTGCTGGAAATTTTGCAAAATAGCGAGCATGCAGACATACAAAAGCAACTTGAGATATTTGATAAGGGCAGATCCGAAGACTTTGAAGACTGGCAAGATAGATTTTTCACACATGTAGACGAGATGGAGGACTTAACCAAGTGTTTTGAAATTGTTCGACAGCAAGTTCAAGACTCAAATTGTGAGACACCCTTTCTTTCCATCTTACAGCATTTAGCTTTTATTAGGGATGATGAAAATGTTCGACCTGCATATTTTAAGCTCATTGAGGAGTGTGTTTCACAAATTGTCTTGCATAGAAATGGATGTGATCCTGATTTCCGTGCCACAAAGAGATTTGAAATTAAAGTAGATCAACTTGTCGATCAGTTTAAAGAAGAAACTCGTACAAGCAATGCAAAGGTTGAAACAGAATACCAAATACAGTTAGAAGAAGCACTTACCAAAAATCAAAAGCTTGAAGCAGAATTGTCACTTGCAAAATCTCGCTTAGAAGAGGCAATGAAGTATGGCAGCGATCCAGCCAAAAAAGGTGGATTACCTACAGTACCAGGACTTGAGCAGTTGGTTGGTGGAGTTCCACCACCACCTCCACCACCACCACCTGGTATGGGTGGGCCCCCACCTCCACCACCGCCACCACCAGGTATGGGAGGACCACCTCCCCCTCCACCACCACCAGGTATGGGTGGTGGCCCCCCTCCACCCCCTCCACCACCAGGCATGGGCGGCCCTCCACCACCGCCACCACCACCAGGTATGGGTGGTCCTCCGCCGCCACCACCCCCAGGTATGGGTCCTCCACCTCCTCCAGGTATGCCAGTTATGAAAGGTCCTGCCCTTAATATCCTTCCATATGGGATGACATTAAGAAAAACTGTTACACCACCTGCCCAAACAAAACGCCTGCAGTGGAGTAAGTTAACGCCAACGAAAATGAGTGAGAAAAGTCTTTGGGTTCGTCTTAATAAGAAGGATGCTAAAATCAAACAAGATGTATTAAAGGAACTTGGTGAACAGTTTGCAGTGAAACAGTTAAAAAAGAAAAACGTAGACCAAGTAGAGAAGCCTGTGAAGAAAGATAAGGAGCTAAGAGTTCTAGATCAAAAAACAAACCAGAATCTTTCTATTGCTCTTCGTGGCCAGTTCAAGCACATGAGTTTAAACGATATAAGTCTAGCTATATTGCAGTGTGATGAGTCAATTCTCTGTGTAGACTCAGCTGGTAATTCTGATTCTTCTACTCTCCAAACTTTAATTGCTGCCTTACCTGATCATGAAGTCATTAAAAAAGTTGTCAATTTGGAAGAGAATGAGGAAGATTTAGCTGAAGGAGAGCTATTCCTGCATAAAATTGGAAAGATTAAGAAATTAATGCCATTATTAAAAAATCTGGCTTTCAAAACTGAGTACCCATCACTAGTCAAAGAAACAAGACTAGACATAGTCAATACAAAAGCAGCTCTTGATGAACTTACTAATTCCAAAAAGTTTGAAAAAGTTTTGTATTATATTCTTGAGTTTGGCAATGTTCTTAATGCAGGATCTAGAAATGCAGACACATTAGGCTTTGACATCAGTTTTCTTCCCAAGCTGGCCAACACGAAAGATTCAGAAGGACATACATTATTGCATTATTTGGCCGAGACTATGCTTAACGAAGAACCAGATAATGCAGACTTTGAAGATGGTCTTTTGCACTTTGCTGATGCAGAACGTGTAACTGTTGATACTGTAAAGGCTAATATTGCTAAAATGAAGAAGGAAATCAAAAATATTGGCAATGATCTTCATCGGCACACCAAGCAAAGTCCAGAAGACAGGTTTGTGTCTTTTATTCTGTATACAGGAGGTCCCTTCATGGGGAAGTGCATTCATGCTAATGAAGGGCTCTTAATCCAAGGGGTTGAAGCTGCCCTTCCTTTAGAACCAAAACTGATTATATTCCATTTCACAGGTGCTTTATAACCATAAGGTTTTTAGTTCTTCCCCCTGAATATATTACAAAAAGATGGTACAGGAGGTGCCCGCTTATACAGCAAGTTAGGTTGTGGGTTACCGCTGTAAAGCAAAAATCTCAGTTAAGTGAAACATAGCCTTTTTTCACTTTCTAATGCATATAAAAGCCTGATAATATGTTTACACTATCATGTATTAAGTGAGCAATAGAGCTAGGCCCAAAAAATGCATATACATTACACACATTACTTACCTTAAAATAATTTCTTCCTTAACTTATAGTGAGTGGTGAATATATTTATTGTAGGTAGTCTGAAAAAATGAAGAATGGGAATAATTGAAAACCACTGCATTAGTGCAATGCCATAAAGTGAAGTGCTGGAAAGCAAGACCCTCCTCCCTCTGGCAGGACAGTAATGGAGTGAATGATGATGAAAGTGTTTCTTCTTTTTCGGGTCACCCTGCCTTGGTGGGAAATGGCCGATGTGTTAATAAAATAAAATAAAATAAATAGTGGAGAGTTGATCCTCCATCCACTAAGCAAAGGCCTGCATGCTGTTTAGTTTTGCTCACTTACTAGTGTTGTATGTATATATTGGCTCCCTTATCTTCGTGTGTTAGTTAACCTTTCAGGGTCCCCAGGCCCTCTCCCAGACTTGTTCTAGGGTCACCCAAATTTAAAAAAAAAAATTATTTTTTCTTATGAAAAGACAGAGAATCTTTTCCTGATCATAATGACACCAAATGTATGAAATTTGATGGAAAACATATGGAATTATGTTCTCGTGAAGTCATGAAGTTAGCGGTCTCGACGATGCTTATGCATCGGCGATTTTGCCACTTTGGGCCCTATTTTCAGCCAATTCCAGTGAACTAGTCGACAGAAATCATAAATATTTCGCTAGAACTCCATTTTTTCTATCGAATGAGTACAAGAAACCACCCATTTACCGATTTCAACTATCCAAGACAGTGGTCAGAATTTAGCAATTTTGCCAATTTCACACAAATTTCAAAAGATGCCAATTTACAAATAGGGTCCAGAATAAACAAGAAAGACATTCCTGGCACTAAAATAACATTTCCTCTGTTGATTAGTCACATCCCTCTTACATTCTTTTGCTTTCCACTTTGAATTTTTTTTCTCACAAAAAATAGAAGATTTACTGTTATGCAGACTACTGCATTAGTGTAAAAATGGTATAAATAATATCAGCGCACTTGTGAAGGAATATTAGACTCACCAGTTAACGTGTATTGGACGCTTAGCATGATTTGTTTACTTTTGAACTTTGGTAAAAATTGAACATTTCTGCTACTTTGAGCTCAATTTCAAGGTACATTTCATTGTAAAACCAGTCAAAATCATCTCAATTTCTGTAATATGTCTTCTATTCTATAAAATGAGACCAGGAAAACTAGAATACAACAATAAATACCATATGAAAATGCAGTGCAAGGTCGCTGTTTTAATCCAAAAACATGGTCAAAGTTTTTTTTCTCATTACACACTGTGTGCTGCAGGATTTTTTTTATGCTGCGCTCACTGACCACATAAACCCATTCTTTCATATATAGGCCTACCAGCTTTCTCTCACTAGATTTGAGGGCGCTAGAATTTAGACGTACTAGTACGTCAAAAACCCTGGCGCTTAAGCCGTACTAGTACGTCCGAAACCCTGAAAGAGTTAATGGTCTAAGTTGGACTGAAAAGTCATCATGCATTTCTTTCTCGTATGTACAGGTTATTTTTGTGTTGTTCCAGTCATGGTATTGTGTTTTTTTATTCTTTATTACAGGCAATTACTAAATACTGTCACAGTACAGTACTTAAGCAGACTATAGTTGATAGTGTAAAGGTTTTCTGATTAGAGAAGATGAAAATTAATTAAAGGAAATACCATTAACTGATGCTGATTTCCACAAAATTGCAGGTTCCAAGAAAAGTTTGAAGAATTCTACAGAATAGCAGAAGAAGATATAGCTCTTCTGGAGACAGAGTTTGAAATGATGCAAAAGAAATACAGTGAAGTTTCCGAGTTATTCACTTTTGAGGTTACTAAGTATGCTCAGGAAGATTTCTTCAGAGACATCAATGAATTCATTGTATTATACAAAGTAAGTGTGCTGTTTTTTTCTTTGCTAAGCTAGCATGATAAAATTATAAATATTTAACTATTGGGTTCTCCCTTTGAATAAGCAGCCTTTTAAAGTTGCCTTGCATTTTTGAATGAGGATTATTTGGGCACATCATCATTCACCGTGTTCATTTTCTGCTTTAGAGTGTACAGGTGTCATGTAGGTCAGCCATGTATAGATAGTTACCCCAGAATATTTTGCTTAACCCAGTAAAGCCAGGTAAATTGTTAAGAGCTCAATATTTTACTTCTATTTTGAGAGTTATTTAAAATTCCTGTTTTATTTTATGGCTATAAGTGAAACAAAGCTGAGGGGGTGGGAGAGTTTCAGTGGGGAGAAATAAATGGAATTAGGTCAGGGGTTTCAAATAGTTAGAACTAAAGAAGGAGTAGCAATAGTGTTGAAGGATAAGCTATGGCAGGAAAAGAGAGAATATAAATGTATTAATTCAAGGATTATGTGGAGTAAAATAATGGTTGGATGTGAAAAGCGGGTTATACTAAGCATTTATGCACCTGGAGAAGAGAGAAGTGTAGAGGATAGAGAGAGAGATTTTGGGAAATTTTGAGTGAGTGCGTGGGGAGTTTTGAACCAAGCGTGAGGGTACTTGTGGTTGGGGATTTCAATATTAAAGTAGGTAAAAATGTTGTGGAGGGAGTAGTAGGTAAATTTGGGGTGCCAGGGGTAAATGAAAATGGGGAGCCTTTAATTAAGCTATGTGTAGAAAGAGGTTTAGTAATAAGTAATACATATTTTACGAAAAAGAGGATAAATAGGTATACAAAGTATGATATAGCACATAATGAAAATAGTTTGTTAGATTATGTATTGGTGGATAAAAGGTTGATGGGTAGGATTCAGGATGTACATCTTTATAGAGGCAACTGATATATCAGATCATTATTTAGTTGTAGCTACAATTAGAGTAAGAGGTAGATGAGACAAAAGGAAAATGGCAACAGCAAGTAAGAGAGAGGTGAAAGTGTATAAACTAAGGGAGCAGGAAGTTAGGATGAGATACAAGCAACTATTGGCAAGTATGAGTAGTGGGGGGGTTGAAGAGGGTTGGAATAGTTTTAAAAATGCAGTATAAGAATGTGGGGCAGAAGTTCATGGCTATAGGAGGGTGGGTGCAGGAGGAAAGAGGAGTGATTGGTGGAATGATGAAGTAAAGGGTGTGATAAAAGAGAAAAAGGTAGCTTATGAGAGGTTTTTACAAGGCAAAAGTGTTATAAGTAGAGCAGAGTATATGGAGAGTAGAAGAAAGGTGAAGAGAGTGGTGAGAGAGTGCAAAGGAGAGCTGATGATAGAGTGGGAGAGGCACTATCAAGAAATTTTAATGAAAATAAGAAAAAAATTTTGGAGTGAGATAAACAAGTTAAGAAAGCCTATTGAATGAATGGATTTTGTCAGTCAAAAACAGAGTAGGGGAGCTAGTAGATGGGGAGCTGGAGGTATTGGGTAGATGGCGGAGTATTTTGAGGAGCTTTCAAATGTCGATGGAGAAAGGGAGGCGGTAATTTCATCACTGGCCAGGGAGGTATAACATCTTTTAGGAGTGAAGAAGAGCAGGATGTGAGTGGGGGAGGTGTGTGAGGCATTAAATAGGGGGTAAAGCAGCCAGAACTGAAGGGATTATGACAGAAATGTTAAAAGCAGGGGAGATAGAGTGTTGGAGTGGTTGGTATTTTTGTTTAATAAATGTATGAAAGAGAGGAAGGTACCTAGGGATTGGCAGAGAGCATGTATAAGTCCTTTATATAAAGGGAAGGGGGACAAAAGAATTTTAAAAATTATAGAGGAATAAGTTTACTGAGTATACCAGGAAAAGTGTATAGTAGGGTTATTATTGAAAGAATTAGAGGTAAGACAAAGATTAGGATTGCGGATGAGCAAATAGGCTTTCGAGTGGGTATGGGATGTGTTGATCAAGTGTTTACATTGAAGCATATATGTGAACAGTATTTAGATAAAAGTAGGGAAGTTTTCATTGCATTTATGGATTTAGAAAAGGCATATGATAGAGTGGATAGGGGAGCAGTGTGGCAGATGTTGCAAGTATATGGAATAGGTAGTAAGTTTCTAAATGCTGTAAAGAGTTTTTATGAGGATAGTGAGGCTCATGTTAGAGTGTGTAGAAGAGAGGGAGATTACTTCCCGGTAAAAGTAGGTCTTAGACAGGGATGTGTAATGTCACCATGGTTGTTTAATATATTTATAGATGGGGTTGTAAAAGAAGTAAATGCTAGGGTGTTGGGGAGAAGGGTGGGATTAAATTATGGTGAATCAAATACAAAATGGGAGTTAACACAGTTACTTTTTGCTGATGATAGTGTGGTTATGAGAGATTCTAAAGAAAAGTTGCAAAGGTTAGTGGACGAGTTTGGGAGGGTGTGTAAAGGTAGAAAGTTGAAAATGAACATAGATAAGAATAAGATGATGAGGGTATCAAGTGATTTAGATAAAGAAAAATTGGATATCACATGGAGAGAGGGGGAATGGAAGAAGTGAATGCTTTCAGATATTTGGGAGTTGACGTGTCAGCAGATGGGTTTATGAAGGATGAGGTTAACCATAGCATTGATGAAGGAAAAAAGGTGAGTGGTGCGTTGAGGTATATATGGAGACATAACATTATCTATGGAGGCAAAGAAGGGAATGTATGAAAGTATTGTGGTACCAACACTCTTATATGGGTGTTAAGCTTGGGTTGTAAATGCTGCAGCAAGGAGGCAGTGGAGATGTCCTGTCTAAGGCAGTATGTGGTGTAAATATTATGCAGAGAATTCGGAGTGTGGAAATTAGGAGAAGGTGTGGAACTAATAAAAGTATTAGTCAGAGGACTGAAGAGGGGTTGTTGAGGTGGTTTGGTCATTTAGAGAGAATGGATCAAAGTAGAATAACATGGAGAGCGTGTGAATCTGTAGGGGAAGGAAGACGGGGTAGGGGTCATCCTTGAAAAGGTTGGAGGGAGGGGATAAAGGAGGTTTTGGAGATGAGGGGCTTGGACTTCCAGCAAGCGTGCATGAGCATGTTAGATTGGAGCGAATGGAGACGAATGGTTTTTGAGACCTGACGAGTTGTTGGAGTGTGAGCAGGGTAATATTTAGTGAAGGGATTCAGGGAAACCGGTTATTTTTATATAGTCGGACTTGAGTACTGGAAATGGGAAGTACAATGCCTGCACTTGAAAAGAGGGGTTTGGGATATTGGCAGTTTGGAGGGATATGTTATATATCTTTACATATGCTTTTAAACTGTTGTATCTGGGTGCCTCTGCAAAGACAGTGATAATGTATGAGTAAGGTGAAAGTGTTGAAAGTATTTTCTTTTTGTGGATTTTCTTTCTTTTTGGGTCACCCTGCCTTGGCAGGAGACGGCTGACTTGTTGATTTAAAAAATAAAAATAATATTTTATTTTGTCTGTCTCATAAACATGCAAGATTTCAGGTACGTCTTGCTACTTCTACTTACACTTAGGTCACACTACACATACATATACCAGCTTATATATACACACCCCTCTGGGTTTTCTTCTATTTTCTTACTAGTTCTTGTTTGTTTCCTGTTATCTCCATGGGAATTGGAACAGAAGTCTTCCTCCGTAAGCCATGTGTGTTGTAAGAGGCGACTAAAATGCCGGGAGGAAGGGGCTAGTTACCCCTTCTCCTGTATAAATTACTAAATTTAAAAAGAGAAACTTTTGTTTTTCTTTTTTTGGGCCACCCTGCCTCGGTGGGATACGGCCAGTTTGTTGAAAGAAGAAAGATTTTTATTTAATTTCATTTACAAATTGGGTGGAGGCAATGTGAGTTCTTAATATTTGGTTAATCCTTTGGCCTCAGGATATATGTTTACTGTTAAGCTCATGTCACTGGTTCCTCCTCTTCCACCGCTGCTGCCTCTTCCTCTTTCTCTTCCTCTCAGGTAGTGGTTATTCCAAGGTCTTTAAGTACACTTTGATGATTACACAAATATAATTTATATTAGGTGTCATAATTGGTTTGTTTCATCATACCTTTGACAGGTTTTGAGAGTTTTCTTACTCCCTCAGCCCAGCCCTGGGCCAGACTTGTCTCGCTCTTAATATGGTTTCTTTTATGCTATAGTACTGGATATATATTTATGCATTGTTTTATTGTCTCCTTGTGACATTGCCTTCTTTTTAAAAAAAGGAATATTTTATTATAGCATCAAGCATCCACCTTTTATGGGGGTACCATTATTTACTCAGGCAGGCACTATACAATGCCTGTGGGTTTAGCGCTTCCCATGATAATGATAATATAATAATAATAATAATCAAACCCTTAATGATGTGTTTATAGTGAGCTGAAGATTTCACACTTAATTGCACAATTTTTGACAGAGAGCCAAAGAACAAATTGTTAAGGAGGAGGAGAAGCGTCAGAGGGATCGAGAAGCTCGAGAACGTGCTGAGCGGGACAAAGCCGAACGTGCTGAAAGAGACACGAGACAACGAGCGCTTCACGATGTCACCAATGACCAGAGTAATACTGAGGTCATGGATCAGTTAGTGCAGCTCATCAATACTGGTCAAGCCTTTGATGTGATGGGGGCTGGTCGGAGACGTCGCCCAGGAAAGACAACAGGTAAAGGGATGGAACGACTAAGAGTGTATAATATGTGTATATGAAGGTACAGCTATATTATTATTTTATCAGTTTCTTACAAGAGAAAGCAGAAAGATTTCTGACTTTCAAATATGTTTTCTTTTTGTATTTCAACATTATCTAGTGTATTAGACTGTTGTATGTCACATTGGCTTTGAAGTTTCATCGGCTAATAAAAGCTGTAACTGCTTCTGATTAACCTAAAAATAAGTTATAACTGCTTCTGATTAACCTAAAAATGTTATAACTGCTTCTGATTAACCGAAACAAAAGTTCTAACCACTTCTGATTAACCTAAAAAGAAAATTATCTGTAACTGCTTCTGATTAACCTAAAAAATACAGCTAAATAAAGTCAGCATTTATTTAACTCATTTAGTTAAACAGTCTATACAAAAAAATAATAAAATAATGAAAAAATCCAGTGCAGTGCCTCATTATATTTTACTTGGCATGAGATTAATAGTAATATTAACTATGAATTTTGTAAAGATGTATGTATCTTTCAAAGACGACTATAACTTAGAACATTTTGGTCTATCTGCGGACCAGTGGGCCACATGTGGCCCACTGGTCCATTTTTAGTGACACGCATAGAGAGGGATTTATTGCCAGATCTTCTAGGCTTCATAATGTAGTAATGCTTACATTCTGTTATCTCTCACATAGGTTAGTGCCACTAGTCTTACATGGCCTTATATTCTTAAGAGATCAAATTATCACATTTGTCTCATGAATCTTAAGAGCTTTTGTCTGTGTTGAAAATGTTGGACCACCATCACTTAAGATGTGTATTTAATCCTCGATGATGGTTATTAAGGTTTCTGCTTTGCAGGAAATTATATTTGATTTAGTTTTTAGTTATCTCAGTTTATGTACGTATATGAAATTGCTTATTCCAGGGGGCTGGCTGGTGGTAAAGCCTCTAGGCTTCCTTATCTAAAGCATAATAGGGTATGCTTTATACCTCGTAAGACAATGAAACATAATTGCTCTTCCAACTTGTCCTCTTATGAAGTATATTCATTTGTAGGCTCTCTATGCAATGCTCAAACTCACTGTGTTACTCTTATATTTCTTCTTCACAAACCTACCATGTAGTAGTATTTTTTACTTTAAAAAATTCAGTAATTAGGTGTGTTATATTTAACCCTTAAACTGTCCAAACGTAGATCTACGTTTTTTCAACATTTGAAAGTATGTAAAAAAGTAGATCTTCTTTTCTTTTTTTTACATTTGAAAAAGTGTAAAAAAAACTTTGATCTATGTTTTTTTTTTTTTTTTTTTTTTTTTTTTTTTTTTTTTTTTTTATTTATATACAGTGGACCCCCAACATTCGATGGCATCGACATTCAATAAATCCGACATTCGATGCATTTTAACGCAAAATTTTCGCCTCGACATTCGATGGAAAACCCGACATTCTATACAATTCGTACGAGACGTGTCCACGTGTGGCCTGAACTGCCCCGTGTGTGCCAGTGTTTACAAGCCAGCCAGTGTGCACGCATCTAAGGATACATTTGGTACATTCCATATTATCCATATTATCACTGTTTTTGGTGCTTGTTTCTGCAAAATTGTAACCATGGGCCCCAAGAAAGCTTCTAGTGCCAACCCTTCGAGAAAAAAGGTGCTAATGACTATTGAAATGAAGAAAGAGATAATTGCAAAGTACGAAAGTGGAGTGTGTGTGTCGGAGTGCATGATGATTTGGTAAAGAAATTGCCTGCAACTAGTGGTGATGTGAGTGAATTTAAGGCCAGCAAAGGTTGGTTTGAAAGATTTAAGAATCGTAGTGGCATACACAGTGTGGTAAGGCATGGTGAGGCTGCCAGTTCAAGTCCTAATGGAAGGGGATTCCCCTTCTGAACACTAACACCATCCACACACTCCCCTCCTCCCATCCCATCAATCATCACCAGATCTTCATTAAAGGTAAGTGTCAATTATTCTATTGTTATTAATCTATTGTTATTGTAATTATTCTATTGCATTAAACTTAATATTTCATGTGGTAAAATTTTTTTTTTCATACTTTTGGGTGTCTTGCACAAATTAATTTGATTTCCATTATTTCTTATGGGGAAAATTAATTCGACTTTCGATATTTTCGACATTCGATGAGCTCTCAGGAACGGATTAATTTTGAATGTCGGGGGTCCACTGTATTTGAAAATATGTAAAAAAATCATTGATCTACTTTTGGAGCACTATGCATGTGAACATAGATCTGCTTGGACAGTTTAAGGGTTAATACAATTTTTTTAATCCCCTTTTATGCAGTTTTTCAGATGATTCTTACACTAATAATTAGTTAAATGTGGTTCATTAATTTTATTGACTTTTAATAGTACAATGCATAGGATCTAAAATTCAGGCTGTTTAACCCTTTCAGGGTCAACAGGCCCTCTCAGAGACTTGTTCTTAGGGTCGACCAAATTTCAAAAAAATAAAGTTATTTTTTTTATGAAACGATAGAGAATCTTTTCCCGATCATAATGACACCAAAAGTATGAAATTTGATGTAAAACTTACGGAATTATGCTCTCGCGAAGTTAACGGTCTTTATGATGTTTACGCATCGGCGATTTTGCCTAATTTGAGCTTTATTTTCAGCCAATTCCAGTGTGCTTGTTGACAAAAATCATAACTATTTCGCTAGAACTCCATTTTTTCTATGAATGAGTACAAGAAACCACCCATTTACCGATTTCAACTATCCAATACAGTGGTCAGAATTTAGCAATTTTGCCAATTTCACACAAATTTCAAAAGATGCCAATTTCCGAATAGGGTCGAAAATAAACAAGAAAGACATTTCTGGCACTAAAATAACATTTCCTCTGTTCATTAGTCACATCCCCAGGCCCCTCTTACATTCTTTTGCTGTCCACTTTGAATTTTTATTCTCACAAAAAAGAAGATTTACTGTTATGCAGACTACTGCATTGGTGTAGAAATAGTATAAATAATATCAGTGCACTTGTGAAAGAATATTAGACTCACCAGTTGATGTGTATTGGACGCTTAGCATGATTTGTTTACTTTTGAACTTTGGTAAAAATCGAACATTTCTGCTACTTTGAGCTCAATTACAAGGTACTTTTCTTTGTAATACCAGTCAAAATCATCTCAATTTCTGTAATATGTCTTCCATTCTGTAAAATAGACCAGGAAAACTAGAATACAACAATATATACCATACGAAAATACAGTGCAAAGTCGCTGTTTCAATCCAAAAACACGGTCAAAGTTTTTTTTTTTCTCATTACGCACTGTGTGCTGCAGGATTTTTTTTATACTGCGCACACTGACCACATAGACCCATTCTTTCATATGTAGGCCTACCAGCTTTCTCTCATTAGATTTGAGGGCGCTACAATTTAGGCGTACTAATACGTCAAAAACCCTGGTACATAAGCCATACTAGTACGGCCGAAGCCCTGAAAGGGTTAACAAAGAAATATGTGCTGTGTAAGTACATAGGTAGCAATAAGAAATAGAGAATATGAAATATTCAGAATGATAAAAAAAAAGTTCATAGATGAGAACTAAGGAGAAATGCTCTACAATTGTTTGAACATCTTGAGTAGATGACTTATAGCAGATTCTTTTAGGACAATATCTTGAGTGAAGTAGAATGATGGGTAGAGAGTCTGCTTACTAGAAAGGGAAAATGGAGGATATCTTTGGGGCAGGGCTTATTGTTAAACTTATATAGTGAGACATACAGGTGCTCCTTGATTTATGATTGTTCAACTTATGATATTTTGACTTTACAATGGTGAAAAAGCAATTACTTTGAAGATGAAACTTAACGTAATTACCCGGCATGAAGGCAGCAAGTCCGTAACTTGTATTCATTTATTTACTCTTTAGTTGTAGTAATTATTTATTTACTTATTGAGTGACAGTAGTTATTTACAGTACTTATTTACTTAGTATATCATGTTCATATTCAACTTATGATAGGTTTGTCGGAACGTAACCCCATCGTAAGTCAGTTAGCTCCTGTATAATGCTAATAATGAAAGAATTTTCAACAATCACGGCAGTGCCTAGTGACCATCAGGACCAATGTTTCATTGTATATATATACAAAATACGTGTTATATCTGCTGCAGCAATTTTCATTTTGCCAGATATTTGCCCAGTAGAAAATTTGCATCAGTTGCATAAGGGTTTATTTAAGAAATTGTAAATAATATGGATAATCCTGCATTGTTTCTTGCGCATGTACATCCTAAATATCTAATAAAGTGTATTTATTTTGCAGTAACAAAACATGTGCACTACATATTCACAGCAAATAACTGCACTGACTATTAAGCTTTTTACTGAATTGGTTACCAGTGCTGCATTATTATTGAATATTTTATTACTTATTCTTTGTTCTAAAAGTACTGAAGTTCTAGAGTCACTAGTCACTCTTTGGATGAGTTATAAGGATTAAGAGGGAACTGAAACCATTTTGATTAATAATTCTTAAGTTGCTAATTTTTTTTTTTCTCCAACAAGTCGGCCATCTCCCACCGAGGCAGGGTGACCCAAAAAAGAAAGAAAATCCCCAAAAAGAAAATACTTTAATCATCATTCAGCACATTCACCTCACTCACACAATATCACTGTTTTTGCAGAGGTGCCCAGAATACAACAGTTTAGAAGTATATACATATAAAAATACACAAAATATTCCTCCAAACTGCCAATATCCCAAACCCCTCCTTTAGAGTGCAGGCATTGTACTTCCCATTTCCAGGACTCAAGTCCGGTCAAATAAAATAACCGGTTTCCCTGAATCCCTTCACTAAATATTACCCTGCTCACACTCCAACAGCTCGTCAGGTCCCAAATACCATTTGTCTCCATTCACTCCTATCTAACATGCTCACGCACGCTTGCTGGAAGTCTGAACCCCTCGCCCATAACACCACCTTTACCCCCTCCCTCCAACCTTTTTGAGGACGACCCCTACCC